TGAAGTATGTGAAGTCAGCACATCGAACGAGGTTGACTGATGAATATTTGAAAGTAGTTCTCTTGGTTGGATGCAGCAATTCCAAAGCAAATATTGATGATATCTCAAAAGCTAAATATCAGTTTCACAAATCTCACTAACCTTTTTTGCTGCTTAGTTTGTGAGATTCAGATATGTGCGCACTGGGTGTGATTTAACTATCTTATTGCTAAGGTCGCTCGTTATTCTCTCAGTTATCTGGCACGCTGTGAAAAACGTTTGGTGACCCCTGAACTAAACTAAACACCAAAATATAGTTGTAGATGTATTCATTTAACATAATTCCCCCCCCCCCCTCCCCCAGTGGCACAGCACAGCACAGCGGTATATCTGCGGACTTATAACGCTAGAATCATTTTTTCGATACACGTGGTGGGCAGAGCACAGATAGCCCATTGTGTAGCTTTGTGCTTAATTACAAACAACCAACCAACATAATTTCCAAGTTACAATTGCAATCAATGTGTATCCCTCTGGTGGTTGAGGTTATATTATTAGAAAAAAGCGTCTGTGAAAAGTTCGATGATATCATTACTTGTTTAACAACTAATGTCATTTCGTTCGGTTTGATTCATTAAAAATTAATTTATTGCATTTTGGTAAGTATGATATTCCTATGTTATTAGTAAATACTAATTTTTATCTCAAATTATAGTGTACTACTATTAGCTGTCTATTACAAAGTTGAAAAGCTTTGACGTTTGGTGAACTTCAAGTTCATACATGATTACGAGTCTTACTCTTAAGAACAATAAAAACTGAAATTAAACTTAAAGTAACTGAGTTACAAATGTTTGCATTGTAACTTAATTTTGTAAAGGGCCAGTTTTGTGATACGATTATGAAGCAAACAAAGTTACTATACCTAATTAGTCTGAGTTAGCGATATGCGAGTCATACCATTTAATTTAGTAATACTAATAGTACTACTTATAAATATATGTTACACATACACTTTTAAGTTTTAAAGTGTGTATTACTGTTCGTACTACTCTGGCCTAGTCTCTTGTAATTGTATTGTAAGTTGTATGATGTGCCATAACCGTATCTTAGTTTCTTGATTTATTTATGAGGTAATTCAAATTGTAATTTATAGTTGTTCTTAACGTGCTCATTTATTTTTAATCACATGTATAACCTATAGTTTAAGTTATAACCTGTACGTCTAATGCTACTATGAAAGATTTAAACTTAAAGTAATAATATTGATAATATTAACAGTATTAGCAGTATTATTATTAGGACTGCAATAAAAAAACGTAACCCTAGCCAGTGTAGTCCTAAAGTAGGTTATCTTATTAATAGTACTAAATTTGCAAACTGTAGTATATGTGAAAACTTTAGAGGCAAAATGTATTTAAGTTATACTGCAAGCGTTTTTTAATTTTCCAAAAGAATGTTAAATAAGTATATATATATAACAGGAGAGTGATACCTTTTAATTTTATTTATCATGAGCCAACAGTGTTATAACAACACTTGAGGGACAACAAGGACCACTTGGTCAACTGTGGCTGCCTCATTCATCTCATCAAGCATCCATGTGCCTGTATCTAGTTCTGATTTTTGAAGTATTTATTAAGCCTCTTCTTGAACTCTCCCAATCCTGTTGTGTTTAATACATTCGAAGGCATTGTGTTTCAGTGCTAATCTCCCTGTCTCAAAAATAAAATAGCATAATTTTCAGACAATTTCTACCCTATCTATATATCACAGTCCTACCAATCTTGCCATTAAATATATGCATCAGTCCTGTTTATTCCCTTTATAACTCTCAACACTTCAGTTCAATTCCATTTAACCCTTCTTCCCTCAAGATTAAAAAAAAAAAACTTTTAAGGACCTTACTTTTTCCTCATATGACAGCTCATCCATCCCAGAAGCTATCCTATTAGCCTTCTTTTAACCCTTTACAACAACTTAGTATTATTTTTAAAGTAATGGCCCTAACCTGGAGGTTTCTATATAAAGTACAATAATCTACTGTGACTTGTGTTCAATATTTCTGTAGATACAACCCCAAATATTTATTTTCCCACTGGCAACATCATTGCCTGGAGGGCTCAAGAGACTTGTAACCCAAAACAATGAAATGTGTTTCTTCTATATAATTATTAAGTTGATTTTCATCAAGGTAGGAATTATAATGTAAATTAAGGTAACTCGTATTCATTATCTTGCATTTAGTAGCATAATTAAATGGCATTTTGCCAAATGATCCAAATCCTTTTTTAAAACAACAGTACCCTCCTCATTAGCCAACTACACCCACAATTCTAACATATGTAGTAAACTTAAGGCTAATGTTTAGTCTCAGCTGTTTATAGAAAGGAATTATATTGTATTTACATTTTGAGTCTGAGATCAACATTACTATTTTATGCAGTCTGATTTATTCGGAATACATACTCATTTCTATATTGCTGTTTTGTAAGTTTTGCAACTGTTTAATTTTGCAGATCAATAATTTATTAGCATTTATCTTTTCTTTCCGAGATGAAATTTCTTATAAGAGGGTTAACAGTTCTTAATTTAATACTCTGTTTCTGTTATCACCCTTTCCTTATTTTTGGTTTTCCAATTCATCTGTTGTGGGTGGTAACCCAGTTCCTGCTCTCTAGTTTGATCTTCACTAGTTGCTAGGGTCCTTTTTAGACCCATAGCTTATAGCATTATGGTGCAGGTGGATTCCTGTTGTCAATAGTATTTGGGTAATTATGCCCCTATAATTGTCATTAATATAAATTAGAAAAACCAAAGGCACTATCACTGACCCATGAGATACACCATTAGATGCAATTTTCTTAGCCAATAGTCTGTGTGGCACTTTATCAAAATCTCAGTATACCTTCTATTATCAGGTAACAAGTAACATCTTCAGGAAAAGTTAATTGATCACTAAGACATGATTTCCCTTTAGTGTAAAGTTTTATAGCTTTTTTTTTATTAATTATGAAAGCTGAGCATAAAATAAAAAAGAAATTCCAAAACCTACTTACCTCCTCTCATTCTACAGCTATTACTCGACTGCTAGGGTATCTTCCTTTGCCCATCTAAGCATTGGTTCAATTTTTTCTTGCTTGCTCCAGTCTTTTAAACCCCCACTTAATTGCCCTTGGCAATATTTGTCTCATGTCACTCTCCACCTATATTAATTTGCTCTCTATCCTAGTACTGTATATATGCACCTCATTCAGATAATGTTATCACTTTTTCTCGACAAAGCATTCACTAACGATTTTCTCTGTGCTACGATTGCTGGAGATACTTTGAGCAGTTTTCATATTACCTAGTTGATTTTTGTTTTAAAATGTTGTTATTTTTCATTTGGGAAGCTGACATGTGGCAGGAATTCCCAGATTATTATATCCAGCACAGAGGCAAATAAGATCTCTCCTATCCCACCTCTGATTCTAGCATCTCTCAACAGTCTGGGGGAGGGGGAGTCACTCTCAGTTGAGACTGTTGTTGATCTTATTCATAGTGAGATGGAGACATATATTTGGTTCAGTGGTGTTTCTCTGGGGGGCTCTGAGGTTGTAATTGAGGGTGATCCTGGACTTTCTGGAGAGAATTTAGATTTGCTTTTTCCTGTGCCTTTCTAGGATTTGTTTCACCCTATATACAGTGCTGATTTATTTATTATCCCTCTAAACTTTGTTGGAAGACTTTCAAGATCACCAAGTTCATTGATGATGAGCTGGAACAATTGGTAGCATGCACTTTGGTTTGATTTCTACATTCATCCCTATTGTGAGTGGCATTTTGACTTTTATCAGCTCATACAGGGGGCCATAGTGGACCTCAGTTCAAGTGTCCTGACCCCAACATCAGCCTCACAGTCTCTTGGTATCCAGAATAGATTCTATCCAAGGGTTCAGCTACTTGGGTGGAATGCCACCAGTGGCATTAGTGATGAGTGTATGCTTTCAGGGTCTGTGGAGGCTTGACTCTGAGAAGTACTGGATGTGTGGTGTGAGGGATTTATTATTATACATTTATTTTAATATCAATGTTTGTTTAAATGAAATTTATATTTAGAAATGTACATAATGTATAATGTTAAATCTGTATTGTGAAACTCCTGCCTATTCTCTAAAGTTGTAGAAGATTCTCGAGTGTAAGAATCAACAATATATGTGTGTACGTGAGCTCTAGTTTTAGCGTCAGTATTATTACATAAAACTGAAATTTTAAGAAATTCTTCACATGCCTATAAATATAACCAATGTAATTCACCAAAAATGGTATCTATTATTGGTTTGCTATAGTTGGTGTGCTATAAACATTGGAAGCTATAACTGTGATTGTTATAATGCTAATTAGTCAGGAAACTTAAGATATTTGACCATGAACATTTATAAAGTTCAAACATTATAAACCATTTAACTTCAGTGGATTCACATCGGATATTAGTGCTTTTACAAAAACATTACCGAACGTTATTGATGGAAACTCGACCTGTAATTGGTGTGTGATCAGTGAGAACTACAGGGCTAGCTAACTCCCTGTTAAGTGAAATATACCTACGTCAACTCGAAATTAACTCGCTCATCATCAACCCTAGATCAGATATCAAGGAAATTCCAGACTAGAAAGAAGACTTTATATTGCTTGTAAGTTTGTGAAACTTTTGTATGTAAAACATTGTTCGTAATAACTATTTGTAATAGCGGTTATTTTAAATTGTATTGTTGTTTGTATATTAAAACATATTTGTGTTAAAAGAAAAAAGAAAACTGTGTGTATCAATCTTGTTGGCAAATATCATAAATTGGATACCTATCAGCATATTTAACTACTAAATTTAAAGTATCATTTAGCTCAGTTTCAAACCATTTGAAATTATAATACGTAACAGAGGTAAACCTCCACCACAGACCCATGGGCGCTACAGGTCCTTGAGTCAGGATTAGTCATTCAGTTCACATCTTCACCACTATTATTCACCCAACCTGTAGGGTTTTCTTCTCCCACAGATCCTTATCAGAGTTTGGTTGGTCTGGGGGTAGAGAGAGTCGTACCAGTTCTTCCAGGGTTTTATTCTTGTCAGTTTATTGGGCCCAAGAAGACGGAAGATTGGTGTCTAGTCACCAATCTTTCTTGTCTATGTCAGTTCATAGATTTCCCAAGGTTCACAAGTGACTCATTCTTCACTCTGAGTTGGCTTTTTTTACTCTAATTGTGGATGTCCAAGTTCAATGTTGTTGGCTCTCATCTGCACATTGCCATAGTGGTGGCATCCTGCCACTATCAGAATTTTTTAATAGCAAGTGTCAGGTACTGCACTTCAGACCTTTTCACCAATTTGTATGTTACCCAAAGTAATAACTATGACTCATTCAAACCCATTGTTGGGTCCTGTTGATAGTACTAAATTTGCAGCTAAGCCCTGGTATCTGCTTCTGTTGTATCTTCAGGAGTGCCCACCTCTTCCACTTCCTTTTTGGCCAGCTATTTGGAGGCAGGTATGATCTGACATCGTCCACCTGGCTATCTATAAGCTTTAGGCATGGAGTTTATGCAGTTCTTTTCACAATGTCAGGGTTTAATTTCTAAGGTTGCCATGTATTTGTTTCAGTGTTTGTTTAGTCCTGCGATGAACATTTATCAATGGAAATGGCATTGAATTGGCTCTTTGGCAAGGGTTTTTCATCTTCCACAATCGTCCTGTATAAGGTGGCCTAATCGACTACTGTTCAATACTAGAGACAAACATTTTTTGAGCATCCAGTACACCTGGACCCCCTCAAGTTGTTTTGGGTCCTTTGTCCCAAACAACCATTCCAGTTACCTGACTGGTATATTAAGGTAGCATTACATGCCCTTTCTCGACACCTGTTTAAGACCTTAGCCTCATGTGCCATGTATCACCTTTCCCTGAAGGTTTATTTTTTATTGCTGCTGACCTACAGATGTTGCTGATCGAAGTGGTTTGCATTGATTGTGCACAGGCCACTTTTTCCTTCTATCTAAGTCCTCAGACCAGTTCTTCTTCCCTAAGACACTGGCAGCTGTGGAAGGGGATAAATCATTTTCACCGATTCAACTGATCACTATTTCTCACTTCTTTGACTGATCAAATTTCGTTCATTGAAGGTTTTGTTGCCCACACTGATGCCGTTAGAGATGCTAGACAATGACTTTTTATTCCTTGGATCATTTAGTTTCCAGGATTTACCACTGGTTACATTGACGAGGTGGGAACAAAATTGATCCATATTGCTTATTCTGGGTTCTTCTTGAAGGTAAGGATACTTCCACAAGTCATGTGTTAATCATATTCATCACATTTCTATGTCCTTAGAGGCCCAGTTGAATTGCATGCTGGAGAACATTGTGTGAGCTAGTATGTAGACTTCCTCAATACATTTATCTCGCATTATTTTCATGATCTGGCAGTAACTTCATTTTAGGGTTTTCAACTACTCCCTGTAGCTATCTTAACCACTTCTGCTAGATTATACAGAGGGGCGAGTATTTTTATTGCTATGCTCATCTCTTTTTTACCTTTCAGGGTCCCTTACCTCATTTTCACAGGATCATACTCTATGGCAAGTGTTGCCCAAGTAGGTGTGGTTTTATCAAACCAATTATGCACTATCGATCACTAATTCAATATACCTCATCTAGTTTGCAACTGGCTCTTTAGTAATGTGTTCCATAAGACCACCTGAAGGCTGACTGGGTGATATTACTGTACTATGCTGGACCGCCCATCCCTGCTGATTATTGGATTGAATAAATCAAGGTTGGTTTGCTTTTAAAAATTTAGGGAACTCATCATGATTCTGGTGGCTTGGGATGCATCACTCTATGGCTACAGGTTAGGATCCACTCAAAAAAAAATATTGCTGTTCACTTGACCGAGCCACCAACATGGGATATAGGGACCATGGCCCTATAATTCCAACTCTGAGCAGTGGGACCTTGTCTATCTGATTGAGGCATGGCCAGTAGTGATGATAAAACATGTAAAATTCCTCCCACAGTACATGAATTAAGTTCAGGGTGAAGATGCTTTCTGTATGGATAATTCCCTCAATGGCCTCTCCTCCTTATCAATGTGGATTCTAGCTGTAGTGTGTTTTGAAAGTTAACATTTTCTTAAATCGAAAATGTATTTCCAATAATATTCACCCCTCTCACACTCTTCTGCCTTTCTTCCCCACTAAGAGCTGGTGTTAGAGACTGTGGATTGAGTCAGTCTTGAGAAAGTGATAACATTATCTGAATGAGGTGCTTATATACAGTACCAAGATAGACAGTGCATTGAGTAGGTAGGAGAGTGTCATTAGACAAATATTGCCAAGAGCAATTAACCTTATTGCCCCGGGTGTCCATTACTGCATATGACATAAGGTTTAGTGTCTTACATTCAAAATTTTATGAAAATACTTTTTATTTATGTTATACCAGTTAGAATAGCATAAAATCTTAGCTAATGATCCATATTTTAATAGTGTAAAATTTTTAAGTTCTTAGTTCTACAAGGCAATATAAAAAAAATCCTGAATTTCCACTAGTGTGACCCATGTGACACATTTTCTCCTAGCATGTCATCATCTCTATTTTATCCACCACCCCTCAAAAAGTATGAAATTAAATGTGACTTACTCTATAAAATCATTATTGCTCAGACAAACGATAATTTTTATAGTCTTTAATTTTGTTTCATTACAGAGCTATCGATTAGAAAATCAGACCCCTCCTGCCACACCCACCTGTCACATCCTCTCTTTCACAATTCGTTGATAGTTCTCTCTTACATTTCATTATATATCATCTATAACCAATTGAAAGTCAAGGTTTTCATCTATCAAATGACCTATTGTATAACATTGTATTCTGAACAGAATATTGTCAATTGCACTCACAGTACAAGATTTGTTCCTATGGGAAAGTTAACAACTTGCTTGGATGAATTTATAATGGCTCTTGTCGCATTATTAGAAAGCCAGGAAAATTTTGAGAGTTAGGGGAATTTGTCCACTTTTTGCATGTTATTAGTTTATAGTCTTTGGTGCATTATTTAATAAAATAGAAATTATTAAGTGCATAACTATCATTACTATAAAAATCAGGCTTAACTGTACTCGACAGTTGAGGGCAAGAAAAAAGAAGATTGGGTAGGTACTTTATTTCTTGTTTATTATTTATTTATTATTATAAAAGTAACTAGAATCTAAAAATATAGATCTTTTTAAATTATTTAAGACTAGATTAAGTAAAATAACTAATCATAATAATAATATAATTAAAATGGTTCAGGAGGCATGCACGCGAGCAGCTCGTGGGTAATGTAATTTGATAGTGTAACATGAGCTGCACATTCCTCGAGTGATCTACAGCTTATAATGGCACAGATAGTAGTTAGACACAGTTCAAAGGGCAATAAAACAATAAAATTTAATTAAATAAATGTATACCTTTACAAACTTAGAGCCACTTAGGATAAACGATTGTAGTTTCATGTTACAATTTGAAGTCATTCTAGAAAGAAAAAAAAAAAGGGTAATTTAGGTTTATTTCGATTTTGTTTTTGGTGGTTACGAGGTCGGTGGAATTGATGATCCTGTTTTGAGATAGGGTAGAGAAAATAACAAAATAAATAGTTTTACTGAAAAAAACGTTTGAAATGCATTTAGGAGGTTTTAGAAATCACACAAAATAATTTTGAGATAAAAAAGTATTTTTAATTTTAACATGAAAATTACTTTGCACATGAACTATTCACAACAAATACTCAATATATTCATGGACAA